ACCCCTCAGCCGCGCCGCATCCGGGTCCCGTGCCGCCGCGCTCACCTGCCCGGTGCTCCTACACCGCCGGCTCCCGCTCCCGGTGCGCGGTCAGCAGCCCAAGCCGCCGCGACCTCCTCGCTCCGGCGCTCCCATCTCGGCTCCTTTCAGTCAGCTCCCGCCTGCCCAGCGCAGCTCTACACCCTCCTGCCGCCCACTGCCATGGCCCGCTCCGCAGCAGCAGCCGCACCGCCCCACAGAGCACGCGCGCGCCGCCGCCGTGCCCGCGCTTGCGCGTGCGCGCGCGCTCGCCTCCCAGGCGGGCCTCCCGGCAGCCCCCGCCCGGCGCGCAGCGCTCAGGCCAATCCCGGGCGCCGCGGGAGGGAGGCGCACCGCCGGCCGCCTCCGCGTCTGTCCGCAGGGCTGACTGCTTGCTGCGCCGCCTCTCTGCGGCTCACGACGGACTGCGGTATGCAGAGTCCCCGACAAGCCGCCTTTTGGAGAGCCCTGGCCTTGGTAGCCCCTTCTCCAGAGACCCTTCTGCTCCTAGGCTCCTCGCTGGCCTCTTCCCAGCCCTTCTCCCCAGTCTTGTTCGTTCTGCTGATGCAGAACGGACTTCTTGGTTCTTGAACACTATGCTTCTCCACCTCCCTCCACTCCCTCTCTGTTGGTCACTCCATTTCTGGGGATGAAGGGCGCTAGGTGGGCTGCTTCACAGCTAGACCGTTCAGTTTCTGTACTGATAATAGTCATTTAAATGGAATGGTGCAGCCTTTCCAGCCCAAGATTCTTTTTCTGTGTTCCTATTTTGCGATAACACCACCTAACTATTCGTTTGCAGCGCCTTACACTTTACCCAACCCTTTTGCCTGTCTTATCTCTCTGTTGTGCCTTTGACCACAACCAGGAAATTGCATAGTCCTTTCTTCAGTAAGACACTTGAAATTTTAACATATTGTAAAGCCACTGCGTTATAGCTATTGCAGCCTAATGCTACAATAATACCTCAAGCGAACAGTCTGGGATAGAATCTAGAAGTAGAACTTAATATAAAGCAAAGGTGACAAGTTAGTTCAGTGATGAAAGAATAGTTTGATAAATGATCATAGTTTTAACTCACTCTCCACTCACAATAATTCAAAGGAAGACCTATGCCATATTCAAAAATAAATTCCAGAAGAATTAAAGATACAAAATTTTTCAAAACAGGCTAAGGATATAGCTCAGTGGTAGAGTGTTTTTTTAGCATGTCTGAGGCCCTGGGTTTGATCCCCAGTGTGTGTGTGTGTGTGTGTGTGTGTGTGTGTGCACACACACACACACACACATGCACACACACTGCATAACAAAAACTTAAGAGGAAATTTTTGAAAGGATAGTAATATAACTTCAGTGAGGCTTGAAGCAAGACAGGAAGCCCAGAATCATTAAAGAAAAAAATAAAAACATTTGTCTACATAAATATGACATCAGAGTAAGTTTTTTAAAGAAGAAAAAAAACAATAGATGGAATAGAACTGGACATAACATGGCAAACACATTGTTTCTCTGGCATAAAAGGGAGTTTCTATAAATGAACTTTTTAAAAACCAAATAATGTTTTAAAAGTACTGGTGAAGTATACAAATAGAGGGTTAATGGAAGAGAAAATCCAAATGGTCATTGGAAAAAGATGCTTAATTTCAGGAATAGTTATGGGAAAGCAAATTTAAAACATCCATTTTTCACTCATCAGATTGGCAAACCTTAACAAGAATAATCAATGAAACTGGGAAAACAAAGTTAGTGCATCTTAGATGGAAATGTAAGTTGCCACAAACTTCTTAGAAGTAACTTATAAATATGTGTTAAAATTTAACGTACACATTGACCCAAAAATCCATCAATCCTGCCCCCTATAAAAACTACAGAAATTACAAGTTGGAAGATTGTACAAAGAAATGATATGGTGTGTTAAGTGCACGCAGGAAAGATACATCCATATGAAAGCTGTGATCATGACCTTATTTGGAGAAAGGATGTTTGCAGATGTAATTAAGTTAAGGATCTTGGGATGAGATCATACTGGATTTAGGATGGGTCTGATCCCAATGATAGGTATCTTTATAAAAGAAAGGCAGAGGAAGATTTGACACAAATAAGGAAGATGATATGAAGAAGGAAGTAGAGGTCGAAAAATTATGTCTACAAGCCAAAGAACACAAAGGATTATTGGCAGCCACCAGAAACTAGGAAAGGAGAATGAAACAGATCTTCTTTAGAAGAACCAACCTCCCAGAAGGCACAAGACCCTGGATTCAATCCCCAGCACTGCAAAGAAGTGGGAGGGGAAGGTATTTTCTAAAAGTAACCTATGTTGCATATAACTTGATATCACCTTTGGCCTTGAGAACTATGAGAAAATAAATTTCTATTTCTTTCTGTTTGGTACCAGGGATTGAACCCAGGGGTTTTTAACCACTGAGCCACACTCCCAGCCCTTTTTTATATTTTATTTAGAGACAAGGTCTTACTGAGTTGCTCAAGCCCTCACTAAGTTGCTGAGGCTGTCTTTGAACTCTTGATCCTCCTGACTGAACCTCCGGAGTCTCTGGGATTACAGGTATGTGCCACCACACCAGGCATAAGTTTCTATTTATTTAAGCCATAAAGTTTATAGTAATTTGTTCAGCTAGACAGAAAATGGATAATATGCTTATTATATAATTGTTTGAAAGGGATAACAAATGTAAATAGACTAGGAACAACCCACTTGTCAATTAATGATTTTATTTTAGTACTTCATATTGTAGAATATTATACCATGATGAAAATGAGCCAGATCTGTTTTTGTTTTGTTTTGTTTTGCTTTTGACCTGGAGGGATCAAAGTGGAAAACTTTTACAATTACAGAATGATGTGAAAGTGGTTTGTTTCAGTTAGTGTATAACTGAAGATAGTAATATATATTCATGAGGACATAGAAAGGGGTATAAGAATTTACCCAAAACACATCATAGTAGATATCTCAATGGACAAAGAGAAGAGGTTGAGAGGGAGCGTTATCTTTTCCTGTATATGTCTTTGAATTGTCTTACTTGTTATAAATAGTATATGTTAACCTAATAAATACCATTTTGAAGAATGAAACCAATTTGTGACTAGTGTATTTTTGTGAGAAAAAAAAATTATTTTTTTATTTTTTGTACCAGGGATTAAACCCAGAGGTGCTTAACAACTGAACCACATTCCACCACTTTTTGTTTTGAGACAGGATCTTGCTAAATTGCTTAGAGCCTGGCTAAACTGCTAAGGCTGGATTTGAACATTCCATCCTGCGTCAACCTCCTGAGCTGCTGGATTACAGGCAGGTGCCACCACTCCTGGCTATGACTAGTTCTTATATCATGGCTAAAGTTATTAGCATAAAGGAAAGCTTCTATCTGTCCAGTTTGAGAAGATTCAAACATTCTCTATGATCCCTACTTCCCCACTACAAAGTTTTAAAATGTACTTTCAATATATGATCTCTGCAGGCTTTTTCCTAATTTACCTTCCTTCCAAATACTTCTGAGTATTCCCTAGACTCATTGATTTTATATTTATTTTTTTTAATTTGAGTGTTTTGTTGTTGTTGTTGCTTAAAATCCACATAATTTGAAATCTAAAATGTAGACTTGGTGTGTTCAGTAGTACAATTCTTGCCTAGCATGCATAATGTCCTTGTTTCAATCTGAGCATCCTGCCCCCCCCCCACAAAAAAAAAGTAAAAATGAAATAAAAAGTGAATCAATAAGCAGTGAAAATCTTTAACCTTGTTATGAAACTTTCCTCACAAACAACCAATTTTGTCAGTTTCTTGAGCATCCTTCCAAAAATATGATACTCATATAAGAGAAAATACAGCTGGGTGCAGTGGTGCGTACTGTAATTCCAGTAGATCTGAAGGCTAAGGCCGGAAGATCACAAGTTTAAAGCTAGCCTCAGTAATTTAGCGAGGACCTAAGCAATTTAGTGAGACCCTGTATCAACATAAGAAATAAAAAGAGCTGAGGATGTGGCTGTGGTTCAATCCCCAGTACCCCCCCCAAAAAAAAAAAGAGAGAGAGAGAGAGACAGAGACAGAGACAGAGACAGATAGAAAGAGAAAAGAGATGTTTTCCCACTTTGTGTGCAGATGGAAATGTTGATTCATAGTTGCCTTTTTTTACATCTTCACACCAGTACATAATGTGTGTGTATGTGTGTGTGTGTGTGTGTGTTTATTGGGATGGAACATGGGGCAATTTACAACTAAACTACATCTCTACTTTCCTAATCCTTTTTTGAGACAGGTTCTTACTATGTTGCCAAAGCTGACCTCAAACTTGATATCTACCTGTGCCATTCTCCCAAGTCACTAAGAGAATATAGGACTGCACCCGAATATTTTTGTATTCCTTTTAAAACTTTTATTGGTATGTACAGAATGCATACAGAAACTACACACATCGTAAAGTTTTACAAACCAGCAAGACATGGGTGGTACATTCCTGTAATCTCAATTACTCCATAACCTGAGGCAGGAGGATTACAAATTCAAGGCCAAACAGGACCCAGTGGCACTGGCTTGTAACCCAGTGATAAGGGAGGCTGAGGCAGGAGGATTGTAGGTTTGAGGCCAGATTCAGCAATTTAGTAAGACCCTAAGTAAATTAGGAAGACTCTCTGTCTCAAAATTTTAAAAGGGGGTGAGGGTGGACTGAGGATATATATCAGTGGTAATTCAACCCTGGTCTCAATTACCAGTACCAAAAAGAAATTTCAAGGTCAGCCTCCACAATTTAGCAAGACTCTTCCATTAAAAAAAAAAAATTAAAAGGCTGGGACATAGCTCAGTAGTTTGCCTAGCATATGTGAGGTCCCGAGTTCCATACCCTACATGAAAAGACATTTTTTTTAACAAATTCAACACACTAGTGTAAAAAATTCTCAAGATCAATAGAGAACATGACCAACATCTCAGACTTCACAGTCATTGTCCTCCCTTCAGGGGTGATCACTACCCTAACATGTAACACCAGAAAAAAATTCCTTTTTTCTGGTTTTAGACTTTAAGTAGATTGTCTATGCATTGTGTACTCTTTTTGTGCCTGGCTTCTTTTGCTCTACATTTCCTCTACATTATTTGTGATATTCATGTACTACTACATGTGCCTGTACTTGTTCATTCTCATTGCTATGTAGTATTTCATTGTACTCTTCTTGATGGCTGCAAAGTATGCCTTTGTAAAGATATGCTGTAATTTAGCTGGTGACTTA